CCCCCCCCCCCCCCCCCCCGATAAAAAAACGAAAAACAAAAACCAACAACAAACAAAACAAAAACAAAACAAAAGAAAAAACAAACAAAAACAAAGCGAGAGAAAACAACAACAACAACAACAACAACAACAACAACAACAACAACAACAACAACAACAACAATATCATCCCCTAAAATAGCTTCAATTTTGCTGCTGTCAGTTATATTGAAGTGGTTTATAAATTCAACATCCCTTTTATATTTCCCTGGTGCTGACGAGACTCTATTTTACAATGCTGTTATTATTTTCATGATCAAGAAGAAAGTGCAAGGTGCCCCAAAAGCCTTTTTAAAGCAGGTACTGTCTTTGTTGGGTGGAGGAGGGTGATTTTTCTGGGTACTATAACGCTCTCCACCGAAAGGGATAAGATTATCCCCACAGACTGCTTAGTGTACTCGTGTACTCGTGTACTCTCCGCTTCTTTTCTTCTAATTCTGTGGCTTAATCTATCTCGAATAACCTGACATTAAATCTATCCCAGTACCACGACCTTTTAGGGCAGACAAATGTCTAGACGCCAGAACATCCCCTGACAAACCGCTCAACAAATCGCTTACTCGCCCAATAAATTAGTAATACACGCTGTAATAACTATGATTAAAAACACCCTCACCGCCTCTCACATACACTCGCGAAAGTTTTTTTTAAAGATACCAACTACAAAACAGTAGTGGCAGAAGAAAATTTTTTTTCTTTCCTCCCCTGCTAACCGTTGCCAATTAATGAATTATTATTTGTTATGACGTCGCGTCTCACTCAAAACTGGTGTGAATGCCATCCCGGTTCGAATAATATGGGGCAATCTTCAACTTCAATAGCTATAAAAGTTTTGATGACTCATGACTATCTATTTGTCTGGAATATCTATGCCGCAAATTGATATCAATCCTTGGTCAATTGATAAAGGTAGTGCCTCAACAATAACTTCATTGCATTTTAGGGAGTTTAAATCCTTTTTACGGCGTATCACGCAATATCTGTGAACTCCTTCTGATACAACATCAAACAGTACAATGATACTATTATAATATCCAACATTGTTTTATAATTCAATACAATGCCGTACAATTCTGTACAAAGTTTCACAATACCATACAATACTCTTCACGGCAATAGAATGCCATGTAATGCTGGACACTACTGTGCAATGATGTTGAAGGCATTACAATGCCTTTAAATGTCATAAAATGCCGAACTATTTCAGATAAAGCCATGCAATTTCGTTTCGTATCAATCCTTCGGAACCATGCTATTCCTTTCTCTCCGGACGTAAAACATCCTTTAATACACAGGATGCCATAATACACTATACCATGCCATACATGAAAACGTTATTTCACTCCCATTATTGAACATTTGAGCACTGCTAAACTCCGTACTCATGTCATTGTTTCTCTGCACATTCATTCATCCCGTGTTTTGGCTTATTTCTAATCAGAAATAAGATTTTTTCTGTTCTTATGTTTTTGAAAATTCTATATCTTAAACCAAATATCGACTCTCTCACTCTCTCTCTCTCTCTCTCCCCCCTCTCTCTCTTTGTGTCTCTCTCTCTGTATCTGCCTGTCTGTCTGTCTGTCTGTCTGTCTGTCTGTCTGTCTGTCTGTCTGT